TGTGAAGATTCCTGCACTGACGCCTGTCGGATATAATCCAACGCCCTTCGTGGTATTAGCCAGGGGAGTAGTTGTTTTCTGATAGGCGTCAGTCCATTCAACCTACTGTGTAGGTATATCCGGGACTTGCTTGAACGTTTAGAGTTCATTTATTTAGATTTGTTTACTGCCAGTCTTCAAGCATAGCCCATTGAGTAATAATAAAATATTCTTGAGCTTTGGTTTGGTCTCCGGATAATTATTTTCCTGGGATTTTTGTTGATTTATTTTTCAAAATAAGTTTAGCGTCTTCTGGATAGCCCAGAATAACTGTAATAAGCCTAATTTTTGGTGCATTGAGTTTTCCAAGCCTGAATAGTTTATTATGGTTTTTGTTGATATTATAATATTCTAAAATGTATTCAACTGCCCTGCTTATCTTTTGAGTTACGTTCATTTTGCGTATTTTTCTGTGATTCATTAATATTGTAAATTATTAAATTTGAAGTGAATAAATGAATTCATGTTTGTATTATTGTCCAATTCTTCAATTTGATTATTTTTCTTATCTAGTATCTTCTCCCACCTGACTATTTATTCATGGGTTGTATCAAGAAAAAATAGTAGGTGCATTGAAGGGGTTATATTTTTAGGAGTGATTAATTTTTTGGGAAATGAAGTTTTTGGCTTTCTACTACTCCATCTGATACAAAAGAATGGGATGAGAGAATCTTCCAAAGAAAGGAAGGAAGTAATCAATTTGAAACTCTATACATGAATGTGTAGATCATGCAAAGAAGTAACTTTCAGATACAAACTGAAAGAAAGTCCTTCTGAAACAGCTACTTTCATATAAACAATTGAATTACACGAAAGAAAATAATTCTTTCGAAACAAATACTTTTTTTTTTGTATCAGATGGAGTAGTAGAAAGCCAAAAACTTCATTTCCTAAAAAAGTAGGTGCAGTTATTTATCTCACCTTCGGAAGTGACATGGTAAATGAAACAATTTTACACGAAGCTTCATTAGTTTTATTCAACATTTCCAAAAACTAAGCCTACCTAAATATCAAATATCTATAATATATATTTCTTGTTCCTATTTATAATACATTTTTTTATTATTATTGAAGTGCGTATGTTGCACTTTTATCACACCTCGTACTTTGCGAAAACAGTTATTGCCATGAATGGCTGATTATTTTTGTATACTAGGTATTCCGTCCTTGTGGTATACTTTTATAACATTGTGATTCATCTCAAAAAGGATAAAAATATTGTTAATAATTACCCTGTTTCTCAATTTGTCCAAATTATTCCTAAAATTGAAACCAAGAATCATATAAGATGTACGAGGTGTCAAATTCTTAAAGTTTATTCCTTATCTGTTTTATTACCTATCGATTTTTTACAGTGATTGCACCAATATACAAGATTGCAACATTAAATTTTTATACACAATTATGCCAGAGGTTACGTTCCATTTTCTGAGAATTCCGAAAAATTCCAAATTTTATTATACAAATTTCTAAGTTCAATTGATAGAACTAACAAGAGATATACAAATTTATTGCACTTACATGACAGAAATAAAAATTACAATATGAGTATTTTTGGTACTGTCTCTGTTCAAAATTCATACCCTGCACTTATAGAATATTTATCCATTTATATTGTCTAGGTTGTGCTTGTGCAAGACAAATGTAAATCAATGTGAATGAGTCAGTCAGATTTAAAAAATATTCATTTGTTCACTGTAAAATACGACCCAGTTTGTACTGAGTGAAATAAAGGTTTTCAAATTGAATCAATCATAATGAGAAACATATTACTTTTGTGTCGACTGACAAATGTGGTGGATGTATTCTGAAAATGTGCCATAGAGTTAAAATGAAGAGGAACTGAGAATAATTAACTACGTGGGAGAAATTAAACTAATAATACTTTTTAGGAATGTCAGTGTGTTGTACTGAAATATATACAACTTAATATTATTGAACCAGCACCATCAATAGTTTATCTGTAAATTAAAACTTATTTAAACAGAAAATGTATTCATCAAGAACAACTGACGTTCTGCTTTATTTTGTGACAAACAATGACGATGAATCTAATGATTGTCTTCCAGTAATTGTATTCGTGAAGGAGGAATGGGATCTTATAAAATTTAAAGTGGTATAGAGGTAGATGTCAGTTAGAGAATACATTTTGTGTTATTCATAAATACTATTTTGAAAGGAACACATTAAGCTTGTCTTAAATAAAAGCAGCTCATAAAAATAATACCATGTGCACAACCATACATTTTTGAGTAGAGAAAACGATTTGTACAATAAAATAATATAACATCACAAGATGATAAACTGAGAAACATAGAGAAAAATACAATAAATATACAGTATAAGGAAACAAAAAGTGGTAACATATAAATCTCACTTACTAAAAGAAGTGCCATATATTCTTCACCTAGTGAATGCGTGGCAAATCCAAATCTAATTCTAGAGTCTAACGAATGGCTACTCATCTTTGAGTAGCTGTTATCACATTTTAAAATTATATTTTTTATGGATAAATTAGTGAAAAGTACTGATAACTATTTTACCAACATAATATTTCATTTGTATAGGGAGAGTTATAATGTTTTCGTCGCATTAAAAGTTCTTGTAATGCTAAAAAATAATTTGAATTTCAGAAAATATCAAAATGATCGTTATTCTAATGATGTGTCTTGAACTTTGTATTGTAACTCTGATTTAATTTCAAACTGCAAGTTTTGAACTCACTAATACCCTGCTTAGATGTATTGAAAATTCAAAACTAAGTATATTGTATTTATATGTGAAATAATAAACAGACGTGTTTTTTCTGAAATATTTCTATCACAGATACAACTGTTTAATCTGATAAAAATGTTTCAGAAAATGTTTTTCTAGAACTAACAATTACTTAAATGTTGACAGTTCGGAAAAATATATCACATAACTTTCACTTCACTAATATTCTTTAGAAGTGATAATTTTCTAGAACTTGCAGCCAAATTATGAGAAAATTTATTTGTACATTGTTGACCGTATACATATATTTTATATATTCGCACAAAATCATAACTTTCACAAATTTTCTATGCAACATATTTCACAAAGTTACTCTTTTAGGGCAAACATATTTTATTAATTTAATTTTGAATTTCTCAACATACACATAGTCAACACAGAATTATGTACAGAAATTTCTTATATCGAGAGTCCTAGAGGCTTATAGAAATCCGGCAAATTTTCGTACAATAATCTAGACCATTCTTCTTGAATCATTTTGCCAAATATTCAAAAATAGAAAAATTTCTGATAGCATCAGCATAAATCATCACATTGAAAAATTATCAGTTTTAAAATTCAACAAAATCTTCAGTCAGTTCCAACTGTATAATTATCGTTATATATTTCATCTGTAAGTATTATAAAAAGTTTATATTATCTGTAACTATTAGTTTGTATTGGGGATATAAAAATACTGAAAAACCAGGGATCTCGCGAGATCAAAAATACATTTGTTGAACTTAATACTGTAGTTAAATATAATCTGTATACTGTACAAACTGTATAAAAAATCACTAGTATCGCAGCTGAAAAATAATACCGGACTGCTGGTTCAGTATACGAATTTTTCCGGAAAAGTTTTCTTAGAAATTCTACTGAACAAGCAGGCAAGAAAGAACGACGAACAAAAACCTTTGTATATAGAATATTGAGTAAATATTTGGTAAAAAATCTGTATATTTCAGGAACTGTATATAAAATGGTATTAGTCAAAGAAAAACTGTGTTATATAATGTTGGAACGTTGGCAATATGATATATCAGTCTTATTATGAATAAATTCCGAGTGAAGAAATAGTTTCTGACGAGTATATGTACATTTCCTGCCTCACTTCGGAATTTGGTAAACTTTCTTTCTATACCGGAAAAATAATTTGAAAACAGGAAGCACAACAGCTTACACTAATCAATAAACATTAAACAACAATACCACATCAGGTGGTTTCACAAACGCAATTAATACATAAATAATAACGACGCTTTTCATCATATTTTCATATATTTTAGTAAATCTAGTTCTAATATTGCCCCTATAGTGTTAATTGGACGGTACAAACTGGCATGAAAATCTGGAATCATAACGGAATAAAAAACAATCAGTCTACGGAAGAAATCAATAAAGCCTCAAATGATCCACAAGAATGAAATTACTTGGGAAATACAGTTCAGTAGTGAAGACATGATCTGTCATGTCCCAATATGGATAACTGAAATTGATTTAGGTAGATGTGAAGAAAATTCAGGAAAAATGCTATTTCTGTACTTTCTTCAATTCTATTTTTATTCCTCCAACATTGATGGACATAGGTTAGGTCCAAAGTGAGTGGATCTATTCGACCCTCCACCGCAACCCGCAAGGGTTTATTGTGGATGACACCTATTCTCACTTGGCCAAACAAACCCAGCTTCTTAACGAAGCCGATTAGTTTGTATGGTGGGTGGTCTTTCAGGTCAGATGGTAAGTGTACGGCTCTGCCGAACTCAAAAGACCTAATTCGGACCCCAGCGGGGTACGAATTAGGTCTTTTGAGGTAGTCGGATAGTCAAGTTGCAAAATTCCCACCTTGATACCCACGACAACCTTCCCATATGAGGGTTTTTGCACGTCAGCTACGCCTGACGATGCCTTAAATTCAGCCGTGCAGGGCTTTTTCGCCCCTGGTTTTCGTGAAACCTCACTTGAGCGCAAACGTTTGCTAACCTGCTCATGGAAGGTTAGTTCCCTCACCTGAGACAGATTCTGCGTTCGCCGCAGCTCTCGCTCCTGAACTAAATTTACAGGGAGGTCAGTTGGAGTCGTAAACTCGACATCCATGTCCTCTGTAGACTCGCTACTGGATTAAATTTTACAGGAAGATCAGTTGGTGTAAACTCGACATCCATCTCCTCTGTAGACTCGATCCTGAACTAAATTTACAGGGAGGTCAATTGGAGTCGTAGACTTGACATCCATCTCTTCTATAGACTCGATCCTGAACTAAATTAACAGGGAGGTCAGTTGGAGTCATAGACTCGACATCCATTCATTCTGTAGACTCGCTCCTGGAATTAATTTTACAGGAAGATCAGTTAGAGTCGTAAACTCGACATCCAGCTTGATGGATATATTCAATTCAGTTTTTTAGAAAATACATGAAAGCTTTGGTATACTTGGAAAGCAATAGATTTTTGAAAAGTATAATCACTTGCTATTGAAATTTGTTAGTTATATTGTACATTGGCAATTTTTGTTTCATTTAATAGCTTTTCTGAAAAAATATCCAAAACTATAACATCACAAATTGAAAGATGGCGATGATTTCAACATCCAAATATTAAAGGAAATGTGTATTTCTTTAATATTTTGAATGAAAGGTATCTGAGAAATATACAGAGTAATACATTTCATTTGCAGGAGACCTTGTGGTGAACTGAGGGTTAAATATCCGACTTTTTCAGTTTTATTCCAGATTAGAGAACCAGTTTGCCTTTTCCATCAAATCGTACCCATCTACAATCCGACAACAGTACATTCAATTCAGTTTTGACCATTTTGTTGTACTAACTCTCTTCTATCTTCGATAGACAGGGAGGGTGGCCGGAATACATCCTGTTCTTCGTCCATTTCTTTCGTTCGTTGCTTACAGTCTTCTTCCATTGGCTGATGCTGTTGTTGACTGTAATGCTCTCTACTCTTCTCACTTTGAGGCAACAGGTGGATCATACTCACTGGTATGGGAAAACCCGTACCAAAATCTGGGTAGAAACTGTGTGCAAAAGGATTGAAAACGGGGGGTTGGGGATGAGGCTGATCTTCAGTGCTAGGCGGCCTCGTATTTGGTTGGATTTGGTCAACTTCCCTTTCTGTTTTGCAAGCATTATTGTTATTGTTCCCTCCCGACATGTTGAGAATATCCATTGAAGGAGTGGGTCCACCTATACAGTCTTTTCGTAGCTGCTCCAATTTGAGGCTTTTCCCATATTTTCCTCGAACGTACATGAGAAGGGAGTTGTAAGGAATACCGAATATCCTGGACGCTTGGCTGGTGGTCATCTTTTTATTCCACACATGTTGGAGAGCTTCAGTTAGTTCTGCGTTCGTCCAAGATCTAGGAGGACCTCCTCGTGGGGCGGAATGTTGGCCTTTTGGTCTTCCCACTGAAAATTTCAAACATAAATCAAACACATGTGCATGAAAAAAAAATTCATTATGAAAATTTTGTTGTGCTATCAATGGAAAATTATTATATTTTCAGTTATCCAGTAATAATCCAATTCCTATGGTGACATTGACTCAGGCTCAATTTGTTTATCCTTGAGATGATTCAGCATTTTATGGAGTCGAATGTTATTCAAAGTAGTTCGTGATTATATGAATTGGTTTGCGAAGGTCATCGCATAGTGACCACTTTGCAATGGATACGAGTCAAAATTTTCAGAAATATCATTGAAAATATCATGAGGTGTTGGGAAAGAAATCTTTTGGATTTCTACTTCTTCATCTTAATAATAATAATAAGGAAGGAGTTGTATCAACTTGATGTAAAGACTCGAAAAATGCTACATCTCAATAGGAGTTTGCATCCCAAATCGTCCATTCCACGGTTGTACTTTCCCCGACAACAGGAAGGCTGTCGACCTTTGAGTTTGAAGTGTCTACATGACAGAATGGTACTGTCTACAGATACTGTAGTACTGGTACAGTTTTTTTTTTAACAGATGGGGTCTTCTTCAATAACATTGAAGATCATGGCTTATCAAAGCGCCTGACGTTCGCTTTTCTCAGGTCGAGTGGGCTGAAGTCAAGATGGTTTGCCAGGATGGTGTCTTCAACACCTTAGTCTACCGCAGTCGCGTGATGGGTATAGAGGTTCCTGACACAAGGTGCAGGGCCCTGCCGCGAGGTGCCCGAGACCGTAATGCATTTGATATCAGCATGTCCAGCATATGCGGTCTCGGCATATATCCATCGACATAACGCGGTCCTAAGAGTGATATATTACCATCTACGACATTCTTACCGTATTGACGAGACACCGGTGTTGCCTTACGCTACGGGTGATATTATATCCGTTGTGGGGAACAATAAGTGCCTCAAGCTCATACAAGCTGATAAGCCTTCACGACCACAAAATGCCATTTGTCGTGGAGTTTTCAGCTCCTGGCGAGACAAATGTCGTCTGAATAGAGAAGGAAAAACGGATGAAATATCGAAATTTTCTCTTCGAACTCCGCAGACTCTATCCAGATCACTCTGTCAAGATGGTTGTTCTGATTATTGGAGTCCTTGGTGGAATGATACCCTCTCTACTCTCGAATCTTAAAATTATACCGGCTTGCCGCATTATGGCAGAAATCTTAGCCGAACAGATGCATAAGGCTGTCATTCTTGGCTCACTGCGCTTGCTCAGGGCATATGATTCTCGGACCCAATGATCACTTATCCCGCGGTGTGGGGAGTGGTCATTGGTTGATAATGCTGGCGCGCCCTCCCGAATGTATCGGGGCTTAGGGGAATAGGGCCTGATCAGCGCACACTACGGTGGGAAATAATGGTAATAATGATGATAATAATAATACTTTTCATTATCCTGTGAGACAATCAAAAAGGTACATTGTGTAGGATTAACCAGAAAAGAGCTTAAAAATGAAACTGAAAATAAAACATTTCATTAAGAGTAACACATTCATTGAATTTTTCATTTTATTTTTCAATCATTTCCTGAAGGGAGTAATAGGTTTTCTCTAGTAGAAGAGACTTAAGTGTAATTTTGAAGCTGAGGATAATACTAGAGTNTGGTAGCATATTAAATAATCTGAGACCTATTACATTGGGGGAACTGTAAGTCAGTGCATTTTTACAATATGGCATATGAAAGTCCGTCTTGCACCTGGTATCAATAGAATGCACATTTTCATTTCTTATGAAACAGTTACAATTATTATATGCAAAAACACATAATTCGAATATATACAGGCATGTAAATGTTAACATTTCAACATTTAAAAAATGCTTTTACATCTTGTATTTCTTGAGAGAGACTCCTGCTATACATCTTATGATATTTTTCTGTATGAAGCTCCCCAGATGTATTACCATACCGAAGACGCGATTCGACTTGAGCATGATACAGCATAATCAGCTGTTTCTGGTCTAAAATATTACGAATGTTTCTCAGAAGAAAATTCATGGAGTTCAATTTTGATACAACTGTTCCACAATGAGTTTTCCAGCTGAGAAATTCATCCAAGTGTACACCTGAAAACTTCACCGCAGAGCACGGAGAAATTTCATCATCTTCAATTCTCAAGTTGAAACTGGGCAATTTCTTATTGTCTAGCATGAACTATTATCAAACGTGTTTTTTGATTATTCAAATGTAGAGAGTATACAGGTGTTTTAATTTTTGCAGCATTAAGTTACCTTTGGTTTGTAGAGTTTAATCTATTTTATCTGATATAACCAGTGATGTGACATCTGCATATAGTGTAAAATGAGAAAATGTGAAAATATTCTAATAGTCCAAAAATTAATTAAGATTTACTAGGATTAGGGTTTAGACAGTTTCGTGCGAAATCTGAACAAGATAATTTATGTCATTGTTGAGCGATGTTTCGTGATCAATAAGATGATTTACTCAATCGAAGTAATACAAGTTATTGTCGTCTGCATATGTATGAATGTTGAACAACTTAAGAACATTGGAAAAGTCAGATGTGTAGATAATAAAGAGCAGCGGGGCAGCGGGGCAAGAATTGAACCTTGCGGGGCTCCATGACGTACACTCATATTATCAGACTGACTATCGTTTATCACAACACGTTGCTTTCTAATTTTTTTAAATGAACTAATAAAGTCAAATATGGGTGCGCTGTTTACGACCAGTGATCTGTTTTCTTTATTTACTTTGCATATTCTAGAAAAACAGTCCATTTCACGACGATATTGAATAGAAACTCGAGATTCACAATACGCTCAATGATGATCAGCTCTTATCGTGAATACCCATCCAAACCTCAGTAATACTTCAAAGACATTCCAGCACATCTGTTGGTATGTTGATCAGTGTGAGGAATACATGAATCTATTTGGAAGTGGAATTGGTATACAGTGTCATCTCCACTTTTTGCACCATATAGGAAACTTATTTATTAAGGATTGTTTGATGAATAAACATAGGATGTTTTTTTATCGTTTTAGCAAATATTTGTTTTCGTAGCCCCCATTTGAAAAAAAATGAGTAAAAAAATACAACTTCGCTTGGATGGCCATGACTTCAAATCTTGATGTATTTTTTATTGCTGAACAACTTTTTTGAATAACATTTCCCGAGATTTTTCAAAATAGGAGTACTTTATTCCTGTCTCAAAATCGAATATTTGAAGGCTCCTCGTATATTACGTGTGTTTTACTGTATTTTGTTGGTACATGGTTAGTTTTAAGTGATGCACAAACTTTTATCAAAAATGAATTTTTGTCGAAAACCCTTCAATAAATAAGTTTCCCATATGATGCATACTTTGGGGATGACACTGTATACCAAAATTATGTCCAAAAATTAGGTCCATATTGTCCAAATAATTCTGTTTTCAAATATTTCAACCTAAATACTCGAATAAATATCGGAATTTTCGAAATCAGACCAAAGACAATGAGAATTTTAAATGAGGCATCTCGTCGATAAAAAAAACTCACGAATAGATTATTTCCCTAACCCTTGAATGATCACTTTCCAATGTTCGAACTATGTTCGAACTATCTTTCGAATTGAATTATTTTTTTTGAAGCAAAGTATCACTTATATGATCATATTAAACAAGTTTTTTCTGTAGATACATCAGATAAGAAACATTGCATTTTTCCTAAGAGAAAATTATGGATACGAGAACTTACTTTTCTTTTTAACGAACATATCGGAATCAGGTGTCGTCCTAGGATTCGGCATATCAAATAAAGGATTCCTGCAGCCATCTAGTCCCGTTGGAAATAGCCCCAAAGGTGAGTCTAACCCGAAAACTGAAAAATGTATAAGTTTAAGTGGAGAATAAAAATGTTGAGTGCAGGGGGACATGCAATGAATTTTTGATATATGTATCAGTTTTTCATCAGCTTTTCTGAAACGTCAGTAAAAGGAATGATGAGAACATTCATTAAACAGCAACTGAAAAATATTGGATGAGACTATTCAAAGCTTGGTTCGATGTAGGGAACATTCAAGCCACAAAATCCTTCTCGGGAATATTCAGTCAACTATAAATTGGTTGAGGTTTTCGCAGCCGAGATTTTCAGTGCAACGATCTTCATCCGAGTTTGAAGGTCGTCGTAGTTTGAAGCTGTATCCTAGCGTTTGGATTTGGAATCCCATACTCAAAAATGCTAAGGTGGCAACAGTGCAATGCAATGTCACGTCATCAACAGGTTATAGCACTTCGACCAATAGCAACGCATCAACAAGAAAGGCGAGCTACCTGAGTCAACATTAATACAACCTACGAACTAGAAATCCCCACCCTGACAAGAGTCAGGCAATACTGTTCACTCGGAGGATGGTACACCCGGAAAGAAACGTCATCTTCAACGGACAAGACCAAGTCCGTGGACCGGGGTCAAACTAGACGAAAGATTAACGTTCAGAGAATACTATTATTACCAATAATAGACCGAAGAAGCAACATGCAACTGAAAGTGAAGCTGCTGATGATAAAGACCGTAATATTACCGATAATCCTGAATGCCTACACTGTCTGGGGCCAGTGCGCAGCGACATACCTAAGACAAATCCAGTTGTTTATGAACGCGTGCGTAAGGGCCGCCGTAAACGCACCAAGATATGTACCGAATAAGTACATATTCCGGGATCTAGACTTGAACACTATGTAGACGCATACATGAGAAAACACGCAGAGGACACGTTTGAGAGAATTCGAGCGTACAATAATCCAGTGCTAAGCGACCTACATAACGCTGAACAGGGATGACCCCAGATTCCGAGAGAGGGACAAACATAGGAGGCCAACGAAGCACAATCAAAGACCACCCCCGAGAGTCGCTGTTAGGTGGCTCCGGTAAGTATAAATTTTTTTAACCAGATTCAGATTCAGTTCATTTCAGATACAATAGGAACCAACACTCGCTCGCTATAAAAAGACAATTGTCTCCGGTTAGTTTTTGGGGGACCCCATGCAAAAATTCAGTTAGGAAAGTCATGATGAAACAAAGCAACCGAATTAGAAAGTTAAAGCACCTTAAGGTTGATTTTCGACCACAAGAGGTCAGATGTCAATCTTGCTGAAGTGCTCATCAGTAAGTTGAGGACCGCTCCGGAGGAGCAGGGGTGAATGGACGAAATGGGATGTTCTGCACACATTGACCGTGTGGGGAAGATTTCAACTCAGGGCACTCAACTGAGGAGGGGGGCATGGGTAGGGGGAAATCACCAGTCCTCATTAAATCATCAAAATGAATAAACCTGTGAAGAAGCCAGCCACTCGTGCAGGCAAAACGTTAGGATACAGTTCCAAAGTACGACGGCCTTCAAACTCGAATTAAGATCGTAGCACTGATTCAGTTAACTATTAGGGTAGTACTGGCTGGAATCTGTATAGCCACCAGGAGTTTGACGTCCCACTTTTGTTTGAAGCGATCATGTGGAAGGTTCTTGTATATTCAAGGCAGCTACCCGAGGGGTCAATGATTCATGATGGGAGGAGCCATCGAAAGTAGTTCATTAATGTAGTTGAACTTCGCGTTTTTCAATCTAACGGTGCTGAACTCGGAAACCAAGAAGTTCACCATGACTCAACCAACCAGGTTTTTAAGACTCTCGTCAACTGTGAGGTGTGAGGTTTCTGATACCAACTAAGGTATTCTGCTCTAAGGCTGAAGAAAGTGGTTACAGCTGTAGTCGGCATATTCAAAAGTTAGTTCCTGAACCTTTCGATAAACATTCACTGGTCAGAACTGGCAAAATATCTTGGATTAGAGGTAACCTCGAACTCATATTCAAACTTCGAGAATTGAAAAAATGAGTCTTTTCATCACTGGGTATATTACAAAGAGTTGAGGAATTTCACAAATCGTACGGTGAATTTCGAGAAGAAGACATACCTCAACTATCGCTTATCAAAAAGTAAATGTTATTGAAAGGAAGTATCTGAGCTGGAGGTTCATAATAAAAAAGGTCGGAAGTCATCTTTAGACGATGCGGCGACAAAACAGAATGCGAATTTTTACTGAAGACTGTCAAATAATGATTTAAGCACTGAAGCCGCTCTTCAATTGGTGGTTTTTGTTCAATTTTCAAACACATTTGCAATAAAGTGTGAGAATTATGAAAAATGAGATATGATAGTCTGCTTTATACTATGGAAAATGCAGAACCGGCAAGCAATTTGTATCACGAGAGGTATCCAGAGATAAGAGACAGTTTTGCCAAGATTGCGAAGCAACCTAATTGGAGGCCAAAATTATATGAATTAAATAGAGGTAAGGAGTTGAAAGAAATAGTTGTTTTAGGTGCTGTTGAAAATAATCTGAAAACGCCAACTTGGAAGGAATTTAAAAAAACATAATTTATATCAACGATCCCTTCTATGAATTATTACCTTCCACATGTGTCATTTATGCAGATGACACATCGATCCTGTGCTCTGACAACAATTGTCAGAATCTGCTTGCAGCCATGGAACTTGCAGAAAGACAAGCTGAATCGTGGTTCAATTCAAACCTACTGAAACTTAATAAGGAAAAAACACAAAAAATAATTTTCTCGACGAATAATAATATTTCTGTGGGCAAAACTGTCCATTTACTGGGAATCACTCTTGACGATGACGAAATATTTATTTTTACTTCGACAATTGGGAAACTTTGTTAACATAGAGACTCTTATTTCAGCTTATTATGCATTTTTTCATTCTCACGTCAGCTATGGAACTCTACTCTGGGTAACTCTTCCAATGTCCGAAAAGTTTTTACGCTTCAAAAGCGTGCAATTAGAATTATTTTGAACGTAGGTTTCCGTGATTTATGCAGGCCATTTTTCAGAAGACTAGGCATTATGACGGCACCATCTATCTTTATATAGCAGACACTTTTGGAAATACATAAGAACATAGATACATTTTCGACCAACTCCCAATTTCATGGGTATAACACACGTGGTGCTAATATTTTGAGACCTCACCGGCTCAATTTACAAAAATCCTCTAAGAACTCACACGGTGTCAATCTATATAATATTCTGCCATCTAGTATGATAAGTTTACCCTTGCCAAGTTTCAAAAAGCGCGTCAAGGACTATCTAATGAAACAAAGTTTTTATAGTACGAAGGAATATATTGCCACAACATCAGTGCTTGAAAAATTTTTATAATATACTATGTTTATTATTTTATGTTTACTTTCTTTGTGAAATTGTATGTACATTTTATTCAGTTACTTTTCTGTATATGTTATTTGATGTTTTTTCTTTATAATTTACTGTTACTGTTTTATGTTCAGTTATGATGTTCATCTACATGTTGTACCACCGACTTGCTACTAATGTACCTTTATAAACTGTAGTGAAATAAATATCTATCATCTATCTATCTATCATGACTAGCCATACAGGACCAGAAGAATTCATGAGCTCAGACAAGGAGATTTTGAGTGCTGCATGGCTTTTTGCTAGTGGTTTCTGGAAAGTTGTAACC